ATATCAGATCCAAATCTTTTCCAGACCAAAGGCACAACTATTATGCCAGCACAAATTTGGGCCAAATTAAAGGGTACTCCTAAATAATTTCCAATATTTCTAGGCTGGGAGGGACTTGGATTCAGCACAGCTGAGTCAGCCCACAGTCATTTTGCACACTTATGCTCTCTAAGTCTTTACATTGTTAATCCTTCTTAGAGGCTTCTACAACACCTGTAGCCCATGAGATAAGCTGCATAACTTGTATTTTGGAAGTTGGGTTCTGTTTTGATTTTGTTTGTTTGTTTTGGTTTTAAAGCAAGAGAAATAAAACTTTAGCTGGAATCTTGTTAGGCAGCTCCCAGCATGCAACAGGACATCAACAATGGCAATTTGCTACGAATTAATGGCATTTTGGCAATTTTGGAGGGAACACAACTCATACACAATGCAACAAAGTTGTGTGCGCCCTGAAATTGCCAAAGCAATTAATCAGTGTCAAGCCCTTAATCAGTGGAGTATATAGATCATCCCTGTTGTGGCACTCCTGGGATACACAAGATTTCTTTGTCAAGCAAGCCGCGACTACAAGCCTCACTGTTAAACTTAAAGCACAGTGACAGGGTCCTAAACTGGTTAAAGAAATGGTGCATAGCTGGGAGGAGTTCAGTTTTGGTTGGAAGTTGTTTGATGTTACTTCTGTTAATAATCTGCCTGTCCAGGTTATTAATAATCCAAAATTGACAGTTTGGATAAGATAATGTCTCTTTCTGCAGAACAGAATATGGAGGAAGCAAATCCTATGGGCACAGTGGCAGCCAGGTGTGTGTGTCACTGAAACATCCTCGGGTTCATTACTGGGGGGAAAGATACCACCTTCTGATGCTTTAATGAAAAAGTATCTAGTTCAAGTGCATTAGAAAATAATGTGTTATTTTCTGATGTATTACCTTCAGTCTCTAGCTGCAGGGTTATTAAATTTCCTGTCTATTTACTCGTTTCCTTAAAGCAGGGATTTCTGTTATTGCTATGTCTGTCTGACTTACTGCAATCCTACAAGAGTTTCTGGGGCAGATGAGATATTCAAGGAAGAGTTCAAGGAAGAACGTTATCCCCTTGCAGAGTTTCCATGGCCAAGCAGGGATTTCAGAAGATGGCTTCTGAATCCTAGTTCAATACTCTACTCATTGCACCAAAGTGGCTCTCAAAGGAGTAAGGGAGTGTTTTTAGGCTGAGGATTGCCTTTTTTGAGAGCATATAAAAATGTGCAGCACAGTTGGTGAACACAGATCTAATGTTTTCAGTTGATGGAACACAAGCAGATTAATATATATATCTCAAACTGAAGGAAGAATCTTTAAAGGGTTTATTTTGAGATCTGCTACATAAAAATTGGCTTTTGCATTCATAGGTCTACACACCAAATGTAATCAAGATACTAAAGATAGAACAAAAGCTGTGAAACACTGCCAGCACAACATCCTATTATAAACTATGCAACACCCATACCTATGACAAGATCATGAAAGTGTGGAAGGAACACAAATATATTACTGAAGTCAGAACTCCACTTATTTTAGGAAGCAATATTTCTTTCAATTGACATTCCAGGAAGCTAAAAAGCTATGCAAAGGTCTTCAGCTGAATAAAATAGGTCTCCTATATAATTTGCACTTATCCACCTGGATAACACATGTCTGCAATGGAAATCCCACCATACCCCAGCTAAAAGAAACAAACAGTGTTTTGGACTCACTCATTCCATACATCTGCTGATGATACTGTAGTAGAAATCATTCAACATTTCCCTGATGAGTTAACACTATTTATCTTGATCATATCTGTGTCTCTGTATGGAACTACTTTCAATTTATTAAATTACTTGGGAAACTTGGATTTATAAAACTTTCAAGATGTTTTCAGTTGCTTTTATAGGGAAAATATTTTAAACACTGTTCACTTTAAAATTTTAAGAAGTGATATGCTTTTATGGTGTGGTCCTTTATCCAGACAGAATGATAAGCCATAGTTTATCATGATGAGAATAAGTCGTCCATCGCCTTCTCTGGCACGGCCAAGAGGAAGGGTTCCAAAGCTTTTGCTTGAATTCAAACTAAGCAAAAATGAACATCATGTCCAGTGTTAGACAAATAACAAATAGGAATCAAGCTAGATTCAATTCATAGTTTATAAAGGTTTGTTAACATTGACCATTGACAAGATTAATCATAATTTGCCTTACATTGAACTGTCATAATTAAAACTGGAAGGGAAAGCACCCTATTTCCTCACAATTTTGCTGGAGGAACGGAGAACTCACAAGCCACACACCCACTTGCCTAACATTTATAATTAAGTTTAAATTAAGCAGCCTCAGAGACTTCACAGAATTTGTGAGCATTTTGATGTGTAATATAATTTCTCTATTTTTTTTTCTTTGAGCAGATCAGGGACAATCTGTATAAGACAATGTACGGTACTGAGAATAAGCTTACAGACAGGCGAATACAAGACGCCACAAAGACTTAAGAATGCCAGACAACTGAGATTTTTTTATCAGTTGAGGAAAGACTCCAAAATATATATATACACCAGTTGTGTTCAAAATTATTCAGCCCCCAATGCTGTAAAGGGGTTTAGGGACTATAGTGTACATTTGGAATTGTATTCAGAATGAAATCCTACAAGGACGTTTTAAAGAACCAAATGCAACTAAAATAACATCAATTGTTTATGTAATACAGTAGTAAATGTTTCTTTTGTGGTTTCTTCATTGCCACAATTATTCAACCCCTTAAAGACTACCACTCTGAAGAAGAGAGGTTCATTCAGGTGTTTTCGAACAGGTATTGAAAACACCTGTGGATGTCACCGAGCACCAATCAAGCATAATAAGCACCAATTAGGCAGCTTTAAAAGGACTGTGATACTCAGCTCCTTCTAGACATTTACTGGTGTGGTTACAAACATGGTGAAGACAAGAGAATGGTCCAGGAAGACAAGAGAAGAGGTGATTTGTCTTCACAGGAAGGGCAATGGCTATAAGAAGATTGAAAAAAAGTTAAACATACCAAGAGACACCACAGGAAGCATCATTCACAAATTCAAGGCAAAGGGCACTGTTGAAATGCTACCTGGTCGTGGAAGAAAGAAGATGCTGACTTCGACTGCTGTGCGCTACCTAAAGCATAGAGTGGTGAAAAGTCCCCGTGTGACTGCTGAGGAACTGAAAAAAGATTTGTCAGATGTGGGTATAGAAGTTTCAGCTCAGACAATAAGGCGCACACTGCGTAATGAAGGTCTCCATGCCAGAACACCCAGGCGCACCCCCTTGCTGTCTCCCAAGAATAAGAAGAGTCGACTGCAGTATGCCAAAAGTCATGTGGGCAAACCACAAAAATTGTGGGATAGTGTTCTGTGGACTGATGAAACAAAATTAGAACTGTTTGGGCCCATGGATCAACGCTATGTTTGGAGGAGGAAGAACAAGGCATATGACGAAAAGAACACCTTGCCTACTGTGAAGCATGGCGGAGGGTCAATAATGCTTTGGGGCTGTTTTGCTTCTGCAGGTACAGGGAAGCTTCAGCGTGTACAAGGTACCATGAATTCTCTTCAGTACCAGGAGATATTGGATGAAAATGTGATGCAGTCCGTCACACACCTGAGGCTTGGGAGACGTTGGACCTTTCAACAGGACAATGATCCCAAGCATACCTCCAAGTCCACTAGAGCATGGTTGCAGAGGAAAGGCTGGAACATTTTGGAGTGGCCATCGCAGTCACCAGACTTAAATCCGATTGAGAACCTCTGGTGGGACTTAAAGAAAGCAGTTGCAGTGCGCAAGCCTAAGAATTTGACTGAACTGGAGGCTTTTGCCCATGAAGAATGGGCGAAGATACCCGTAGATCGCTGCAAGACACTTGTGTCAAGCTATGCTTCACGTTTAAAAGCTGTTATAACTGTAAAAGGATGTTGTACTAAGTACTAAGATTGAATGTCACTTGGGGGTTGAATAAAAACTAATNNNGTGATGGCCAATATTTCTTGATTATTGACTCAGAAAATTCTGTAGATAACATACCAGATAAAGTATAGGAGATATCATGTTTGCTTATGTAATATTTTGTTAAATTCTGTATTGGGCAATACAATATAGAATTTTGAGAAGATGCCAACTTGGGCACCAGTTCCTACAGAAAAATATAGTGATGGCCAATATTTCTTGATTATTGACTCAGAAAATTCTGTAGATAACATACCAGATAAAGTATAGGAGACATCATGTTTGCTTATGTAATATTTTGTTAAATTCTGTATTGGGCAATACAATATAGAATTTTGAGAAGATGCCAACTTGGGCACCAGTTCCTACAGAAAAAGCTGAGGCATTGATTCTTCCATAATTTGGTCACTTACCACAATAAATCAGCTGTGACTAAATCTGCATTTGATTATGAACTATTAAAGCTTATGACTCAACAGAACAGAACAGCAATTTTTCTATTTGTAGATACTGAGACTTGATTCCTATGCTTCATTTCAGCTCTTTCATATTACTAGTTTTTAAACCTAACAGCAAGATATGTACTATTAACTCTCAGGGTTCTAAATAAGACTCATTCCTCCATCACCCCATTTTTTTCAACTGACACACTACTGCTTCACATCTCAACTCCTCTCACAAGTTTATTTCCTTAAATCCTTGATAGAAATGATTACCGACCTTATTTAGTGGTTGGGTTGGTCCACTTTGTTGTCAAACTCAGTATGTCCAACTGAAATTGCTATTAGGTGGAATGCTTTTATAGAACGTCTCAGTCATTTTAAGTAAAGAATGCAACAAATAAATTATTTCATGTTCACTGCAAAAAGTTAAACTCACATTTTTTTTAAAAAAAGATTTGAACTCAGAATAACTATGTCTCTAATTACATCATACACTGATGCCCAACCTCTCAATTAGGATTTAAAATTGAGGGAGCAAACACAACACAAACAGGAATAAACCATTAACCCACCTGAGCATTTTGCCTTTGTTCCCGCACTACATCTGTGATTGTTTGAGCAACTTTTTCATGATCTTTGTTTCGCTCTGCTTGCCACATTTCCTTTTCTTCTGCATGAAGCTTTTCCATCCTTTCCCTTTCTTTTTTTACTGCTTTTATTATGGCAGCCTCCATGTCCTCTTTTTCATTCTGCAAATCAAATAAAAGAGTGAAACCACAAAGAAATGTTAAGTTTTTATTTATAGTGTAGCTATCCCCAGATCTTGATAACAGTGGGAGATTTTCCTGTCGTTCTTCTGAGTCAGGAGAGAAGAGACGGCATTAGAAATAAAGGTCTTGAAGCTAGACTTTATCAAAGGGGCACCCTTTTCTCTGGAAGATTCCAAGGCTATGTCAAAAATACCTTTAAAAAAAAAAGGAATACTTTAAAATTCAGATGTCCTGGTTATATAAGTTAATCATTTCGCTTTCTCCATTGGTACCTTTCTTTGCTCATCTTCTGTTTTATCACAATGGTAAATTTTCAAGCTATAAAGGATGGAGACACAGGCTTATATAGATGAAAAGATTTTTTCATTGGGGACAGTCCATCATAGCTCAGTTCAGAGCACAACTTGGGGAGTTTTGCCCTTCGTGGATGCAGCTAATGCAGGTTACTTGGTTTACAGCAATTTCTTTGGTGAAATGGCATGCCTCTTGAACAAATCTCCCTTTTGAAGAGCTGATCTTATCTAGCCTTATTTAGAGGCCACAAAGGTATGGCCTCTAAATTACACAATCTTCTTATCAAGACTACATAACACTATTCCCAAGGAAAGGAATCAAAAGACAAAAAAGAAAGAAAGGGGAGAAGAAGGGAGCTTTTGTGGAAATCTAGTCAAGGAGTGGAGGGATGACAAAAAGACTTTCAGCTCATCCTTGCAGAACTGCTAGACAACTCAGTGGTTTAGATATTTGGCTGCAGAGTAAGAGGTTGGTAGTTTGATTCCCCTTAGGGTCCCTTCTACCTCTGCATTTGTGAGATGATGATGATTTGTCAGTAATATTTCCCCAATACACAGTATATAGTTATCCAGTTTGAACATATCTGCTCTAAAAGTGTATGAAGATTCAACTAAAAGGAAAAGTTTTCTTCTCTTACTGCTATTTTTTGTTGGTGCATTTGTTTTGGTGTTTTTTTAAACACTATTTTGTACGTTAAGTATCTTCATACTTCTTTTGTTATTTTTGTTGTATCTGTTGTACAATTTTTTAATGTATATATTTTCTTCCAGCAGAAAACTACACAGCTACAAATGGGCTCTATTTATGAACATTTATGCTACAATAACTCTGTTAGTTTTTTAATTGCTGTTGTTAAAACAAACATTCATAAATAGAGACCATCTGTTAACAATTGCTGCTTGACTATTATTTTTGTTGTAATAAGCTGACACAATTAATATTAAAGATATGTTAGATGACTGAGAACAAGGCATGGTCACCATTTTTTTATGACAAATAGAAATTTCAGTACTTTTTGAGATCAGTTACATACCTACCCTGTTTCCGCAAAAATAAGACCTAACCTGAAAATAAGTATGATTTTTCAGGATGCTCCCAATATAAGCCCTACCCCCAAAATAAACCCCAGTTAAGTGAAACACAGCCCTCTACCATTGTGCAGCATTGTGCAGCAACTAGAAGAAGGTAACATGACTGTAAAATAATACATCCCCTGAAAATAAGCCCTAATGTGTTTTTGGAGCAAAAATTAATATAAGGCCTTGTCTTACTTGGGGGGAAATACGGTACTTATCTGTTTGTAAGCCCCATTGAACTTATTTTTTAACAGATATGTACAGAACTGCACTATTAAGGTTCCCCTCAATGAAACTATATTTTTACAAAGTCCATGGAGTCTACACAGTTGTAACAATTAGTTTCAGAAGTTATTTCATGCATTAAGGTACCTTTGCAGCTGCCACCAAAGCCTCCATATTGTGTTGCCTTTCATTTTCCATACATTTTTCCAGCATTTCCTGTAAATATGTAAAAAATTACTCTTAATTCCATTACTTCTGAATAGCTGTAGATTTCTTTTTTAAAACATCTTCACTAACTTTTACAATGTTCAAATCACAAAAGTATGAAGATCTGTAAGTAAATCTTTAGGTGTTCTAATTCCCAACGAAAAGGGAACGCCAACATTTGACGACGTTCTGAACGTACTGCTTGTCACAGTTGCCCAAGAAGTTCCACAGCAGTTTCTATACAGTGGTGCTTCATTTGACGACGTTAATTCGCTCCAGCAAAATCGCTGTAGAGTGAAAACGTCGTCAAACGAAATTAAAAAACCCACTGAAATGCACTGAAACCCCCTCAATGTGTTCCAATGGGCTGAAAACTCACAGTCTAGCGAAGATCCTCCATGGGGTGGCCATTTTGGGGTGCCTGTAAAGCGAAAAATGGCTCCTAAACAAAGCGGGAAGCCATTTCGTACACCCAGCCGCCATTTTGAAACCCGACGATGAGCTGTTTGCTGATCATCGTAAAGCGAAAATCGGTTCCCGAAGCAGGGAACCAATCATCGCAAAGCAGGAAACCCACATTCAAACCATAGTTTTGCAATCACAAAAGCGATCGCAAAAAACTCACCGTCAAGCGGATTCGTCGTTAAACAGGGTAATCGTAAAGTGGGGCACAACTGTATCTGATACTTGCATATCCTTTTTTTTAACAACGTCTGTATCTGATACTTGCATATCCTTTTTTTAACAATGGGGCTACGTACATGATGCTTACAGTAGGATGAGGTCAACACTAAATTGGGTTGTGGACCCACACACAGAAATCTGGTTGACCAGGTCTCCTACCAAGTCAAGTTCAGGATTGGTTAATTCAGGGAAAACATTCTAGCCTTAGCAAACAATTACTGAAATTTGTATTACAGGGTGGCATAGCTGGCCCTTAGCTCTAATGAGGGAAATAGGACATGAATAGCTATTCTGGGTACCAGAGCTGTACTACTGGCAGGAAGCATTATATCTAGGTCTGAAATGTGTATGTTTGCAGGTCATATAGATCATTTTGATAAGGACAGAAGGCTGAAGCGAAAAGTAGACCTGAGATCAAGATTATTTCCTAAGAACAGAGAGGAAGAAATAAGGGTCCAAGCTAAGAAAATGGGTATAAATTTGAAATAAAAACAAAATAAAGGAGAATTAATTATAAAATGCTAGTTTCTAGAGAAGAAATGCCAAGCCCTTAATTCTCTTCTCAGACAGGGTTGGTTTGAGAGAGTGAGAGGAGGGAAAAAACTTCCCCTGTTCAGTCTGCAAGGTGAATATATGTGCTTCCCACATAAAAGCTGTGTCTCACCCACAAAATAAATGTTCTTTAATCTTATTAGAAAGCAGCAAAGAGTGCAAAACACAGTTAGTGCCACTGCCCAAACCAAATTGGTCCTGGTGTCAAAGCCATACCATGGATCCTTTTCTGTTCCACTTTTCTATTCTATCAGTTCAATGTAGTCCCACCACCATCATCACTATCCACTCTGGCAAAAGGCATTTTGAGTGAACTGTTTCTTCTTCACATTTCATTCTTCTTTTGCAGTGGAATGCTATTAAGATGTTCTGACATGTGGTCTCAAGAGCTAACAATACTCTGCCATTCTCCAGCATGCAGTACCTGCACACTTTAAACAAAGGAGAGCAAATACTTCACAAGTTATGGCTATAGTGGTGCAACCCTCAAGAAGTTGTGACTTGATCAATGCAGCTCCCCCAATCTAAAGAAGCACTCTGTACGGAATAACTCTTATATATTTTACTTTATAGACAGATCACTATAAGTGATCTAAGAGTTGCTGGCGTCGTGCATACAAGATACCTTATATTTCTGAGACTGCTGTAATAAGGATTCTTCTGTTTTCTCTTCCAACACTTTGCGTTCCTTGTCCAACATATCAAGTAGCCTTTGATGCTGTAAAATATAAAGATGCTAGTATCATGACTGTAATAAGCATCAGTACAGATGACAACTTGTAAAACTTTTGTTTTTGCTGTTTTTTGCCTCTACTAGAAAAATGATACAACTGGTGAAGATACAAGAGTGAAGAGTATACTGCAGATTATAAAATTTAAATGGATAAACTGCTTTCTTCTGTGTGCTCAAAGTTTTGGATGAAACCAAATGTGCCTTTAATGTAAAATATTTTTGTACCAAAGCCTACCAGGAAATTGGATGCCAAGGCCCTGTGGATCAGGAACAGCACTAAACTCTATCATGAACTATCCTTGCCTAAAAAAAAATCCTCCATGTACTGTACTTGTATTTGCCTTGTTTTCAGGCATACATGTACAGAAAGTGGATCTTGTGTTTGTGACTAGTAGAGATGTTCAGCTCTGTCATGTTCTTATGTTACCTCATGAAGCATTATTTCATTTCATTAATTTGTTACTTTTCTTCCAGAATTGGGACCTTTCCTGCATCGTCTTGTGGGCTGAGCCATGAGGAACTCGTGATTATCACGTACTGAATGATATGGGTGGCTGCTGGGTGAGCTAATTGTAGTATAAATCTTCACATATTTTCCTTTTTGTGAGAGAAATGTTTATAAAAATCATGTTTCTCACAGCTGCAGAGATCGTTGGAATTTTTCTTCATTGTTTGCATTTTGGCACTTTTTGTTATATAATCTAAACTATATTGTACTTTGTGTGAAAAGTTTTGCATTTTTCATGAAATACATTTTTAACTTAAAATACTTTTTCTGGAACAAAACACAGAAGCTTTTTTTCCCTTTAAAGTTGTGATGATGTAACAACTGCTGGCATTTTTGTTCTCATACAGGACCAAAAAAGTCTTGCAGTGATATACTCTCTTCCTCATCTATATCTATAGATAGATATTTTATTGGATGTCTTCATTTGTCCAGACACACATTTTTCTGTTGAGGATAAGAAAACTAGTACACATGCATTTCTTTTCTAACTGAGTACCATACTAGTTGTTTTGGATATGTACAATTGTAAGGTACCAATGGCTAAAATCCTGTTGCTTAGCATAGTAAGTTGCCCATGGAATCAATGGGGATTTGGTGAATGAATCCAGTATAAGTTCCATTGATTCAAATGGGCTTACTCTAATTGTGATGCACTTTAATGTATAAGTTGCAACTAGAATAGTCCCATTTGAATCAACAGAATTTACACAGGAGTTCACTCACCAGATATTCTGCATTACAGGCAATTGTAGATGCTTGCTACTGCAATATCTGTTCTCTTGGGTCAGAAGATCAAGATCGATAACGGAGACAGCATTCAGCCACACAAACAAACAAACAAACAAACAAACAAACAAACAAACAAACAAACAAACAAACAAACAAACAAACAAACAAACAAACACACACACATACATACATACATACATACATACATACATACATACATACATACATACATACATACATACATACATACATACATACATACATACATACATAAAGGATTTAATCAAGGGAAAATTTGGGTGACTGGGGAAATTTACTGATTCCATTCTTTACTGACTCCAGGTAAAACAACAAGGGTTGTGATCACTTGTTTTTCCTATCTGAGTCAATTATTTCTTTATTTTAACATAATTATTTTAATATAATAACACAATATATTTTAAAATAATTTATAGTGCCTCACTAATGAATACGCACTCCACTTTGAAGCATGTCAGACTTGCAAGTTGATCAGCTGCCACAGTATTTACTATATTTGCTTGAGGTGCTGTAGCTGGTGTTAGACCCATTAAGATCCAGATGCTACAGCCATTACCATAAGAGGTGACCCACGCTAGGCAAACCTAACTTACGGATCCACCTATTATGCACAGCTGTGAATTCAGTTCCTGATAGCATAAATGGTTTTCAGTAGAATATTCACATCCTTGGATACAACTTTTCATTTTTATATAAGGAATATGTACCAAACCAGATAAAAAAATTCTAATAGCAAATTCATTTGAGAGCCATGTAGCAGATAGAGTAGTGGACTAGATTCAGGAAACTTGAGTTCAAATCCCCACTGAGCCATGGAGTTGGAATTGGCAAAACCTTTACATACGTTGAAAACCCTATTAGAGTCACCATAAATTGTAAGCAATTTGGCGAAACATAAAATTACTACTAACGTGCATTTAAATATTGATTTCAAATGGACAAGCTATTTCTTTTTCTGTGCTAATTTTTTTACGTATTTCATTTTAGTTACTGTTTGTTTTAATTATTTTACAATAATTGTCACTTCATGTATTTATTGTAGTGATAATAAGAGCAGATCAGAGTTTAAAATAAAGAGAAACAAAACTGGTGCTCTAAATTATAAACGCTATCATAAACCTGATTTATGAGGTATATTCATGAGACATAATTCCAGAGATACTTAGTCTACAGGTTATTTAGGATTTAAAGGTAAGCATGGTAAATTAAGCATGGAAACAAACAGGTAACCAGTGAAACTGACAAGGTTGGTATTTTCTAATCTCTTAGCTCCACTTAAGGCTCCGATATCTGCATACTGGGCCAAATGAAACCTTTGAACACTCTCAATGGACAAGCTTCTTTAGAACTTATTACAGTAATCATACAGCTCCAGGGTAGTTAAAAATCAATGATTTCTTTTTAAAATCAAATAGATTTAAATCACGATTTATTTTTTAAAAATCAAATGGATTTAAATCACGATTTATTTTTTAAATTGCTTTTTTATTTAAATTGTCAAAAAATCTAATTTTGAAAATTTAAATTGTTATCTAAATCAATTTGATTTAAATCAAATCCAGCCTGCGCAGCAAGGAATAACATTCAACTGTACATGACCGAACAACCATTAGTTCTGTGGCAGCCGTATTTCAACGATAACTGAAGGCAGATGGCAGCCATGACTGAAAGCCCATGTTTCTAACACATGCTTGCTTTTCTTGTGCACTGAACAGGACAAAAGGGAATTTGTTTGTCACAACATATGTTTGAGTGGGAAGCAGAACTCTTCCCCTGCCTTACACTGCCCTGCAAGCTCCATTCTACCCTCCTGGTTCTGGCAGCAGAACTCAAATGTCTGAAGCAAGAGGTTGTGGGGCAATGAGAAAGGGTGAGCTCATCTCAGCCATCGATCTCACTCAATGTAACCATCAAAACACACAAAGGCAACTCCTTCAGTTGTCAAGAGGACAAACATACAGATAAACAAACATGACTGCTTCTGCCCTTTGGTTACAGAAAATAAGAAGGGACATCACTACAGAGGATAAATATATGAATATAATTGCTCACAAGAATGTCTGAAATACATAACACTGTAACATATGAGGAGTATTCAGTTGTTGTCCCTCCATGGATACACTCAACATGCTCCAAGGGAAGCACCCAGCTCCTCTACCCTCCATTATGGTCTTTTACCCATGGAAAGTGACAAGCCTGGTGTGGAGATAAATTTCCAAGGTTCTTCCTGACGGAAAAATTTGAGACACTGAGACAAAAGCAATAATCTTTATCTAATTCTCTTAGGAAAAGGTAAACATGACATGCTAAGAAAACAATAAAACTACTAAAGCTACATAAAAAACATACCAAACAGTAAAAGCAAATAGGGTGCCCACAAACTTAGGCAAGCGCACACTGTCTCCGCCTCGCTCTGTCAGTCAGCACCAATGAAGTGTGGGGTTTGAGAGAGAGTGAAAGGCAAAGCTTTATAGCACCTCATTGAATAAAAGGGACAGGTGAGGTCTTTACCCCAAGGTTAAGAACCAGTGCTTTAGAGCACCTCACTGAATAAAAGGGAGAGGTGAGGTCTTTAAGCACATCAACCCACAATGGCTAGAATGTTGGATCTTGCTATAGCCCAACACTTCCTTGCATGGAAAGCCTACATATAAGCAGCCATGTCTCCAGTGCAAACACATTGCTTTCCATACATACACAGCAAGAGGTATCCTTCAAAGCATGGTTTGGTATATCCATAAAGAGGATGACTGGATATTGCTATGGTGGGGGCAATACACCAAAGATTGGAACTGGTTATCTTCTGTGATAAGACAAAAAAGAACATGATAAGGAAATACCAGTCTTTCTTATCATTTAAACAGCCACTGCAATAGCCAAGGTGGCTTTATTTTCAGTCATTTGTCCAGTACGATCTGTATAAAACCAACTTGCCAGTTTTATAGTTCACCTTCTTCAAAAGCAAATTTTGTTGCAAAATCTGAAGAAAGGTATGAATGAGCTACCACACTTTTCATAAACTGCTTTGCTAGAATCACAGCAGCTTTCCAACATTTCTTTTCTGGACTTGTTTGTTAAAAGAGTGATTCTTTACCAGCACAGTTGGTCTTTAACACTCAAAATCTGTATGGAGACATTAATGGAAGACTTTATGTAAAACATTTTGGGAAATGGTACAGGATGTACAGACATAAAACATTTGCTAAAATAATTTCAGCCACTTCCTGCAGCATGTTTGTGCGTGGCAGGGGGCGTTGGGGGATGGGGACCCAACACACAACCTAATTTGGTTTGGAAAACAGATTTAGAAAGAATTTTTCAAAACTGTTTTCCATACTGATGGAACAAAGTACTTCATTTTAGTATTAACTGCATATACTGCATTGAACATGGACAAAGCACTCAATTAAAAAAATACTGAACTTCATCTGTGATTAGCTAGACAGATTGATAGACAAAATTATGAGGTTATTTTTAAGACCTTCCTTTCCAGGAATCCAGCTACCCACTATTTGACTACTGCTCAACTGATGTGCATGTAATGGCACAACGGGAGTTGTGGTCTTTAGTTTCTACTGGACAATGTGGCAACTGCCTTGTGTTTTAACTGGTCTGAAGGGGATCAGCATTTCTTAACACTGTAGTCTTAGATTCCAATTCAATTTCTTTCATAAACGTGTTCCTTTTCTTCTGTTTTATGCTGTTGTTA